TAATTTAAGAGATTAAGATCATGCACAATACACGTTGGTATGCAATAACCATTTGATTTTTGTTTGATTTCATCAGGGTTAAATTAGATAAACATTGTAGATACATCCACACATTGCATCAAAATCCCTCATCAACTCAGGTGTACATCCACCTGACAAATCACTCGATACATCTACAATTAACTTCATGACTCGAGATTTCAGAACCAACACCTCACACTGGAACCAAACTCCTAATAGACAGCCTACAAGAAGACGGGGTCCGCCATAGCAAACATTCATTAAGTGACTTCCGGTGCACAAATAATATATCAACCTAAATAACTTTTTACGTCACACATTCCTTGTGCGCGACTGACTTTTATATCTTATAAAAATCATATCTAATTCAGCCGAAGTCGGATTTCTATGAAATTTATATTATTGGGATTGGGACGATGTGTACTTTCTATATATATATATATATATATATATATATATATATATATATATGTGTGTGTGTGTGTGTGTGTGTGTGTGTGTGTGTTGGCGCACTTATTTTTACGATTTACAGACGATTCGGCTAATTTTTTCCTATTTTATTATATTATAATAATCATGAAACACAAAATATTCACATAATTCCTATTTATTACATAAAAAATGTTTCAATTGTTGACCCTATCTATTACATCACCTTATTAATGTTGGTGGGAAACGCGAGCGTGACAAGATAGTTGATTTACTAATTTATTATGTGATTAATAAACTAATATGTGATCAATTGTTAAATAATTGATTTGTTAATTTATATGATTAATAAATTAATGTGAAATCAATTAGAAGTGATTAATTATTAATCAGAATTAATCTGGAATTAATTCAGGATTAATTGTAATCAATTAAAAGTCCAAGGGTTTAATTGTAATTGTTTATAATTGAGCAATGAAGTAAAATTCTAAAACCAATATAGGGGTGGATGGTTTTTGCAAGGATTCTAGGCTTTCTGGAAGCCTTGTGGTTTCATATAAGGAAATGATTTGAACTGATATTAAATATATTATTTAATCAATTCAATTTTAGTTTTGTCTGCAAGTTACCTAAACTATAAATATGACCACTTGGGAGCCAAATTTCGTGCATACTCTTTCCAAGAAGCATATGAACGAAAATTAAACATCTCTCCTCTCTCCACTCTTGTCTTCGAGTTCTAGGGTTTGGGTGGAGCCATCAGAGGCATCATCATTTTGGTGTTAAGCTTTCCAAGACCAACAACTACAAGGGATTGAAGTGATTTGTTTACTATAACAAATCAAAGGTATGTAACCCTAACTTGATGATTTCGATTATATTAGGGTTTATCTAGTTTTTTTGTTCATAGTATGTTGCCTTCAAAGTATCAGACATAGATATTTATAGGTTGCATGTGCCTTCCTAATTGTTAAGTGATTTTCCGTATTGTACACTTCTTATAACCTATAAAACCCATCAAAACTTTCATCAGATATCTAATACATTTTAATATATACTTTGTATTAAAATCATGTTTATGAAAGTAACTATGCACTCACCTGACTAAGCTGAAAGACTCGTGGAAAAGTCAGATTTTTGACTGACGCTTTAGTTTTCAATTATAAACGACCTAAACACGAATATTACTAAGCCTTAGTTTCCTCAGACGTAGGATCCGTTTGGTATATAGAGATACACTCTTTGGAAAATCCACTTTAAACACCTCACAGATCTAGCCTAGACATCACTCACGTAAGTAGATTGATTAATATAACGACTGGTTTACTGATAAGTCTTATTTATAAGTTCATAATAACGACTATGAACATAAATATAGGTATACTTAAAGTACGATAAACATAACCAGGTTGTTTAGCGAAAACTTGGAAAGTCATGGGTAGAACTTCCATTCTGAAAACTTCTTTTCGTCGGGCTCTTCGACGTCGCATAACCTTGATAAAGTAATCTAGGAACCAAGAAGAATCGGACATGAAATGAAAGAAATTCTAGCGAGAATTTGGAGAAAATTTGAGCAAGAATGAACCAAAATCGGACTTGTATTTATAAGCATCGCGCCACAAGCTTAGGCGCTAAGTTTGCTTTGTATCTTTCGCTTACGAGCTCCATTTTTTATGTTCTTTATATCCCTGACTTCGTATCGACGAGTACTACAACTTTCATTTAGACTCTGTCGACTAATTCTCGTTTTGTTTTGAATTTACAAATCTGTAAAGATTACACTGCGAAAGACGACGAATATTAAGCTTAGGGACCAAGTTTCGTTTGTATCTTTCACACACGAGCTCTTTTTTCAACGTTCTTTATATCTTCGATTTCATATCAAATAATACTACAACTTTCATTTAAACTCTGTCGGTTAATTCTCATTCTATTTCAAATTTACAATTCTGTAAAAAATACACTACTAAAAGATGTTGCATATCAAGATTAGGTACCAAGTTTCCTTCGTATATTCCGTACACGAGCTTCATTTTCAACGTTATTTATATCGCCTATTTCGTATCAAATAGTACTACAACTTTCATTTAAAAAAATTTATTTAACGAGCAACCAAACTCTATCTCACATTTTATGACACATACATTATATCGTGTCGAACGCGGAACTTCGAAAAATCATAACTTTCTCATACGAATTCAAATTTAAGCAATCTTTATATCCACATGCTCGTGATTACGGTTTCTACGACTTTCATTTAGATTATTTAACCTAAATAATCTTTTATTTTTTATGTTATTTTATCGTTTAACGATAAATTTTATATTAAGTTTTTCTACCAACATTATAATACTAATAATGTTTATTTACATATCGTGTATACGATAAATATTTATTAGCTCATAACGCGTATAAAGAACAATTACCTTATGCAATGATTTTAATTGTTCGATAAAATATATAATTATTACTCTCTTTATCCTATATTTATTGTCAACTTTTAACTTTTGAAGTAGTTTTTCTTCAACTTTGACGTTAAATATTTTTTATTTATGTCATAAAGTATTTGATAAAACTTATAACAATGAAAAGACATTTAAAACACAGTCCATTCATATATTTGCATCAAGTATTGTATATCAAAAACAAAAATATTTAAGGTCAAAGTTGAAAAATAAAGACTTCAAAAGTCAAAAGTGGACGATAAATATAGGACATAGGTAGTATTATTATATCTTAAACATCCAGCCCAAACTTGCAGGTGTTACATTAGTTTTTCAACTTTTTTTTCGATATTTAAGGGTATATTGCATAACATAACAATGAACTTTACTATTTTATCAATAATTCAATATAGGCAATGCATTTTATTCTTGACCCACATTGGCAATGTCTTTTTATTTCTTTACCCACAATAACAATATACTTATATTTTCTTTTACCGATAATGTGTAACTCAACTCAACCACCTTAGATTTTTTTTACACCAGCATACTTACAATTCTTTACTTATAATAGTAATGTTCTTGGTTATTTTACACACATTAAAAGCGTACTTATAATTTTATACATATATCTATATAACAATAAAAGCAAATAAACAACATTGTCCATATTGGTAGCAAAATAAATGTTGCTTTATCGCCTTATTCGTAAAAATATAAAGTACATTGCTATTATTGTTGAAAAATTAAAATTTATGGATATATGGTTAGAAAACTATAGATACGTTACGTTCTTAACCTAAAACTATTTCTTGTTTATTTATTTTGGTTTTTTACACTATCCTTACCTAGAATTTGTTGACTTGAATAGCAAACAAACTAAAGGGTTAATGACTTAGGAGAGTAATAAGGTTTCCTGTTTGTCCATATTAGGTCCCTAACATATTTTTTATGCGTATTACACCAGTAAGGTTGTTATTATCGTTTAGAAATAGTCCATTTTACCAGTTTCTTCCTGTTTAGCTTAGTTGGCATCTTACATGTCCGGAGGCATGCCTATAACCCCCAGATTCGCATAAGGTCTCGTATTTCTTGTGCCCTAAATTGAAGAGTTGAAGAAGAAGAGAAGAAGATGCCGCAAGCCTCTTTTTCCTCCACCTCAAACAACCGAATCATGTGCTGCTATGGGCTCCCAAGTCGGATTCGAGTCTCCACTACACCACAAAATTCGGGGAAAAGATTCAGAACATGCCCTAATTCGTTGGTAATGGCCAATTTTGAAGATTGAAACTTTTCTCTTTAAATCTCTGTTATAAGTGTGTAAACTATGGCATTTATGCTAAAGCTTTGTTTTTTTTTTTCATTTTTCATAGAGAGCAGGGAGAAGATGTGGATTTTGGGAATGGGTTGATGAAGATCCGGTCACAGAGGAGGTTTTGAGTCTTAGGCATGTTTTGAATGAAATAAAGAAGAGGATGCATCACCATAAAGTAGCATTGATTGTCTTGTTTGTCTTGTTGTTTGTTAAGTTATTTTGAATTGAATTGTGATGCAGTAGACATCTTTTGAATATAAGGGTACCCATAATTTTGTTTTTTTTATTGTAAAGGTACCCATAATGTAATGAAATCGTATGTATGAATGTTAATGAAGCTTTTGTTCATGAAATATGTCATTGTAATACAAACACCCTTAAAAAGTGTATGATTCAACATTGAAGGCAGAATACATGTGCAAAGTGTATGATTCAACAACCAAGAAGCAGTTAATTATATTAAAGGGTAATATTGTCAACAATAATTATAATGAACAAGCAAATTAAAGTCAAAATACATTTGCAAAGTGTATGATTCAACAACCAAGAAGCAGTTAAAAGATTTAAACAAAAAATATATAAAAGGGTAATATTGTCAACAAACAAACACCCTTAAAAAGGTGTTTCCCATTCACTATCAAAAGAGCATCAAAAAGCTGGATAGTTTTGTCCCTTAGTTTATTACACCATCACATTTAATATCAAAAGATTCCACCATCACATGCTTACCTAACACTTACACCCCACATTCATACATAAGAAAACAAAAGATTTCAACATAAAACTTGCAATCAACCTAAATCTACAGGTTTCCTTAAGCTACAACCACTACCATCCTTGGACACCACTTTTTTCCTCAGGCACTGCTTGATGATTCTTTCTGAAGCTTTACTCTTCCTCACTTGAACTGCACTTCGAAATGGTCTTGCAGAAGTAGATCTGTGCCTTTGTTGTGGAGTTGTAGGAGTGGATCTTGGAGTTGGATGTGGATTTGCAGAAGTGGACCTTCGACTTGCAGTTCCATAAGTGGACATTTGACTTGGATGTGGAGTTGAAGGAGTGGATCTTGGAGTTGGATTCGGATTTGTTGAAGTGGATCTTGGAGTTGGATTCGGATTTGCTGAAGTGGATCTTGGAGTTGGATTTGGAGCTGGAGTTGGAATTGGAGTGGATCTTGGAGTTAGAATTGGAGTTGGAGTTGGAATTGGAGTTGGAGTTGGAGTTGGAGTTGAAGATCTAGGAACCGGATCACCTGTGGTTAGAAATTTTTTTGTTGGGCACCCTTTTTTGGTATGACCACTAACATAGCAGATTGAACACTTTTGCACCTGCTTTACTCTTGATATTGTATGTGGGCTTGATATCTCCCTTTTTGCTGCACTTTTTCTCCTCTTAGTAGATGCCCTACCAGGTAGCCTTCTACTCTTTGGGGGTAAAGGCTTTGTGTCTATAGTGAGCTATCATTCAAAGGATGAATAATATATTTATAGCAGTTGAGATAAGTTGCCTTACTGTAACAACTAGCTACATAGTCCTCTGAGTTCAAGTTCATTGATGAAATTGCAGCCACTCCATGTACACAGGGTATGTCAGTCAACTGTCATCTCCTGCATCCACAAGAAGCCCATAACTTAAAAGGACATGTAGGTTCTTTACCTTTGCAACACTTCACTAGAAGTCTGTTTCTATCATTCTTTTCATACCACAAATCATAACCATGCTTAACAGCATAGTTGGTAAGACAATGTTTGAGCTCACTAGGATTGGTGAATTTCATACCTAACATAGGAGCCATTTGATCCCATTGTTGCTCAGAATTGTGCACAGGGTATATAGGAGGTAGTTGCTCAGCATTAGGATCTTCTTCCTCATCATCATTTTGGCAAAGTTTGTTCAAAAAGTTGTATTTCTTCTGAATACTTGCTCTAGCCCTTTTCATAGAAAAGTCCTCATCATCCACCTCGTGTTCCTAACCCTCTTTATCTATTACATCAACTTCATCTTCGTTGGAGTTGGTATCATCTTCAAGTTCAGGCTCCTCCATTTCAATCCAGTCAAACAAGGGTTCATGGATATGGTCCACATACACAGTTACTTTCTTTTTCTCATGAAGATACTCAAGAAATTCATGATAATCACAATCATTTTGCAATGTGGCCAATCCTTGACACAATGTTTGGCCGTCTGGACAATAGTATACATATTTGCACATCCTTCTAGTAATCAACACTAGGTGAGCAATGAATTCAAAATACCCTTTTGTCCCTGAAATCGGCGTACCTTATCTCCTTTTTATCCGGATCAAGATACATAAATGGTCTCGGGAAGAAGTTCCCGTTGTACTGGACTTCAATGACCAATGTATCATCTTCAGCCATCTGATCGTGGGTTGCTCGAAGAAAGAACAATGGGGACGATTGAGTGAGAGTGAAGAGATAGAGATAGGGGATTTGTCTTGCCCTAATTTATGGAGATCAAATATACACGCAACACTTAAATGCCACCTAACCATCCACGTAATGGCCTGATAACCACGTAACTTTCGTATATACCATGTAGGGCTAGATTATAATATGGATGACATCTATTGTGTGGTCGTAAGGATAATTCTGGACCAATAGATGAATATAATGAATGGTCATGATTTGAGGGCCTATGGAATTACTATGGGATATCATGTACGATATAATCACATAAATTTTAGTATATGAGTATTTTAGTCAATTAAACTACATTTAAAAAAGGAAAATTTCGTATTTTTAGGGATAATTAATTTCCTTAATTTTAAAAATCTGATTTTAATAGATAATAATTCTTTTATTTCGGATCATTCTAAAAGAATATGTTTATGAGTATTTTGAAACATTCTTGAACCATAAAATAATAAATATTCTGATAGAATACATATTTTGATGGAATGAACTTCTTGAAGAATAACAAATTATTGAACCATCAATTGAAGAATAAAAACAAAACTTACACTAATTCTTATAGAATATGAGTAATAATCGGTAAGAATTACATTTATTGTTAAAGAATAAAACTAAGAACGGTTAAAAATTGAAAAAAAAAGCATCAAAATCTAACAAATACACTAATACAATCTAAAAGAATATTGTTGCTAAGAATCACTTTCAATTTTACAGTCCGTTCTTCAAGCATCTGTGAAACCAAATCCAACTATAGATTAGAACTCAATAATACATTAGCAAATGAAAAATAAAAAACTATCTTCAAATAGATCAAACTTATCTGTTTCCAGTTAAGCAAACCAGGAAGAGGTGTGCTTGCCTTTAGTTCGATATTAGAAGCAATTAATCTCACTCTGCTAGGCTTTCGACCAGCTGTAGCATAAGAAGACAATAATAATAAATAACTTCATATTTCATACACAAACATATGAATTTCTTAAGAGCATTAAAATAACATAACATACCCAATACTGCAATTATAATTAAAATGAAAGTTATAGAAATTGATGCAACCGCTAATTTTTCAAGAGGCTCCTTTTTTATCAATAGTGAAAAAGATGTCAGGTACTTCTAGCATCACTACCATTGCATGTGTTGAACATGGATATCTTGTTATTCAAGTTTACAAGCATTGAAAAATTAGTTTATGCAAAAACAGAAGAAAAACAATGAGACTCAATTACTATGTGTCTTTTATAAATTTCCAAAAGAGTTGCTACTTTTGTTCTTGTAGGTTAATAAAACTATTTTTACGAACAAGATGTTTGTTTCTCCTATTGTTTATGTTGAAGTAAAGGACAAAAAAAAGGAAGAAGTCAATTTCCAGTTTTTGTTTCCTTAAAATGTCAAACAAAAGAAAAAAAGAACAATCATTATTTTTTTTCTTATTTTCTCTATCTTTACGGAGACAAAGGAAAAAAAACATAGTTTAATTGGTTCTGTATTACTTTTGTGTGAATTGATTTCTCGGTAGAAAAAACAAAGAAAAAAACAGAGCCTTTTATGAGAATTCAAAAAGGACTTCTTCTTGGTGTTATACAACCATTCATTGAGAGGAAAAGGAAAAAAAAAAAAGATTATCATTAAGCCATGTTGGCTAGAGATAGAGATGAGAATAGGGAAGAAACTTGCCACCGATAAGCTATTTCTTGGTGTTCGATTCATGTGTCGTTGATTGAGAGGAAGCCGATCGCTCTGTGTGCATATGGAAGAACTAGAGACGTGAAAACAAATTAGGGTTACAGAGATAAATGATTGGAAGAAATGCATACGTGATTTATGGGATTTTCCAAATTTATTTGAATTTATTTTTGGTTTATAGAAATAAAAAGACCAAACTACCCTTATTTATTAATTTAATGATTTAAATTTTTTTTGAAATCTCATTGGTCCCTACAGCCACACAATAAATGTTCATCCACATATGAACCTAACTCATACTAACTCATACCATGTATGCACTATGTAACCGGTTAAACAGAAAGAACCCGGTAAAAAGGGCTATTTCTAAACGGTAATAACAACTTTACTGGTGTAATACGCACAAAAAATACATTAGGGACCTAATATAGACAAACGAGAAACTTTATTACTCTTCTAAGTGATTAACCCCAAACTAAAATAAATTGTTATGCAAAGTGTTTTTTATTTATTTTATTTTTGTCTATCTGAGTGTAATCATAAAGACAATTACAGTAAAAGGGTCTCCATAACTAGAATATACTTTCAAATACAAAAACATTTCACCCAAAAAGGATATAATATCTATCAATATCATCAACAAATATGGCCTTTTAAGATGTATTATGAACTCGAATTATCTCCCTTATAATATCTTCTCCAGCAATTATTCGTAAGTTTCTTACGAATCTTTCTCCTGAAATCTTCTTTTTCTGCAAAATAACATGTTAATTAATCATTAGATTTAATAACTTATTCATCGTAAGCGATGATATAAAGAAAGAAAGATTCAATCGGAAAACTTTACATATAAATCATCATGTTGCTTTTTAATATAAGCCATCTTTGAAGAACTCAAATACTTCGGGAAGTTCTTCATCAGAATTTTCATCATAGCATGCCACCTTTCCTTTCTTACTCCTACAAAAATGAGATTATCAATCTTGGAACGAATTCTGTGTAACAAATCGGGTCATAGAGTTTAAGAATTTTCACCTATTAATGAATTTGCTTTGAAAGCGACGATGAAAAGGGGAAGAACGAAGGTGTTCATGTAAGGTTCCCAAATGATGTATCTCTTGGGTGATAAAAGATCATCGACACCCGAATTGAATTCTGCCGATGTCGGTTGATCGATTTGTGAACCAAAAGGAATTGGTTCGAGTTTCCCTAAAATCAAGCGACATAGTAAGACATGCATCACACCATCTGAATCAGCTATTATCGATTTTTGACTGGAAGAAGAAGAACAGTTGATATGAACACCAAGAATAGAATTAAACAAAATCGCATTCGAATCGAAACACAGAATGAACTTAATTGTAACAAATTGATAAAAAAGAATGGAGATATGAATCGAGAGGAACTGTTACTAACCTCGCATTTGAATTATTCACCGGAGAGAAGTAAACACCGCGGCCATAAGATGACGAACTGTTTTCCAATCGACGAAATCCATAACACAAAATGTCACGAATCTCTTCACGAAAACCGCCGTACCAACCAAACCTTATGTTCGGATCTCCGCCGTTTCTATTGGCAACTGCCGTCGCAAAACGCCTAAACGCCTCCACGCGAGCCTCATCCATCACACTCCATTTATAATTTTTCCGGTGAATAGCAACGACGTCAACATGGTTCTCGAAATTCCTCATCCCATTGATAAAACTCCTCGCGACATTCACGTATTCACTGGTTCCTTTCTCAACTCTACGCAACATCAACTGGTTGTTGTTTCTGAAAATTCCAGATTGCCAGTAACTGGGAACAGCTACTTTGATATTTGATTCGGAATCGGAATCCGGCTTAGTAATTTCATCGTCTTCGATTGTAATATATTCTTGATCTTGATTATGAACAGGTTGATCCATGCGTGCTGATTGATGTAAGTTGTGAAGGAATTACAAATGCAGAATACTCAAAAATAGAATCGAAGTGGAAATTTTGATTGGAGTGGTGTGGGAATCGGGGGAGATGAAGAGGTTAAATAAACAGAGCAAGAAACAAATAAAGTTTAATATTCATCGCATTCATTTTTTATTTTAACTTTTTCAAAAAGTAAAAAATGTTCGGATAATATAAAAGTTCTTTTCAAAATGATTTTTTGCATTGTAAAATATGGGGTTTCAAATTTTTGTGATTTTACATGTAAAAGTTAAACTAAAAGTCTTTTTACTAATCGAAACATTTTTTAAAGAAATTCTTTTACAAAAAATCCTTCTACAAAAAGGACTTTTGATGTTTAAAAGCAATCTCAAACACCCCCTAATTTTAATAAATAATCTATTTTGCTTTTTAATCCTTTATTTAAGTTAAAACATTATTTTTAGAGGCGACTGTCTTTTTAAATAAATTAGAAGTGAAACACATATATCTAGAATGGTTATCATTTTTTTGTTTATATAGTTACTAGGTTTGAGACCCGTGTACTACACGGGTTGATTAAAAATAAAGTTATATGTGAAGATATAAATATCAAATATTTTTTAAAGTAAAATTTTATAATAGATATAAAAAAAATAATGATTAAATAAGTAATTCATTTATACTAATAATAAAACTATTGACATTTTAGTAAGAAAATTACAAGTTACAACTATAAGCATCAAAAGACAAATAATGCTTGGTTGGTTACAAACCATGTAATATATGGTTTGACATCATGTTCTCACATTTAAATACAAAAAGAGAAACAAAAGCAAATGGATAGATGGAGATGATATATACGTCCAATTTCAAATTTAATTAATCATAAATAAATCTTGCATATGATTTTGGTCAACAAATTGATGTTTTCTTTTGCTTTTGTTCCAAATTGACCATCTCATATTATTAATTTGTTAAATTTAAAAAGAAATGATGTAGCTAAAAAAATAAACTAACTGAATATCAATAATTGATTGATAAGTAAATCTCTTTCAAAGCTATTACATCATGAAACATAGCATTAATTTGGTGCTTAAAAGGTTAACCAATTTTGCCAATGTCATCCTTAATAGGTTTCAAAAATAGTTATATTTGATGAAATCTAAAAGTCTTCCAAGGAAAACTATTTAAAACAGTAGGGTACAAGTTCAACTTGGGCAAAGTTTAGTTCATGGTTTATTTGATTCATTTTATTTTTAATCAAGTTTTATTATCATACATTGCACACAATTTAAATTGAATCATTGTTTATTTTGGAATGATGGACCTATTTTGGTTGATTGTGAGATTCAAATCTAAAATGACTATTTTTGAAATGATAATTATTAGCATTAGGGGTGTTCGCGGCGCAGTTTGGTGCGGTTTATCCTCAAAACCGCAAACCGCACCGCATATGCGGTTTGTTATTTTCGGGAACCGCAGACCGCACCGCAAAGGTAATAAACTGCGTTATGTGGTGCGGTTTTGCAGTTTTTGTGCGGTTTATGCGGTTTCATAAACATAAATATTAAATTTAGTTTTAAACATAATAAGCGTGACACTGTAAACACATATTTTTGATATAGTTTGTTTCCCATTTTGACTCATGTTTATCAATCGAAATCTCATAAACATTATTAAGGATATTAAAAGTGGTAAACATCTAGCGTGTTGTGTGTGTATATATATATATATATATATATATATATATATATATATATATATATATATATATATATATATATGGTATGTTGCAGTGCGGTTTGAACCGCGGTTTGGTAACTATAAACCGCAAACCGCACCGCATAGTGTGGTTTATGAAAACTACAAACCGAAAACCGCACCACGAGCGTCCAAAACCGCATTATGCGGTACGGTGTGGTGCGGTGCGGGCGGTTTATGCGGTTTGTACGGTTTGATGCACACCCTTAATTAGCATAACTATATAAGTCAAATATCGGAACCGTATTAGGTTGTATGGTATTGGAAGCACAAAAGGTGTGTTATGCCTACATGGTATGTGTTATAACGTGCAAATTTCAAACCCTATAGACGTGATGTGGTGATTCGTTGCCAAAGCCACATTCCATTCAAATTTTTATGGTTTTTATTTTTATTTTTTTTTCTATAGAAAAATAACTATTTCTTTTTTACTAACCAGTATATGTATAAATACACAATTTCCTCAAACAACACAATGAAGTACAAAAAAGAGAAGATTACTTTGAGACGTGAGCATCAGATGTTAACTTATCACTGATATGCAAATTTTGAAAGTGTCACCCGATAATGTTCAAAGTGAAGACCTCGAGACTATGTTAGCGGTGCAAAAGATGATCCGGAAAAAATACATACATACCTATATATATATATATATATATATATATATATATATATATATATATATATATATATATATATATATATATATATATAATATTTTTTATTTTTATTTATGTATTTTCTTTTGTTTTTATTTATGTGATGTCACTTATCTTTTTAAACAAACAATATGTTTCATTTTAATTAAATATAACGTAATATAAGGATGTTGAAATCATTTTTAGGTGGGTGAGTGGTTATAACTTGATTTTTAGTGTCTTCCCAACTCATTGACTTGACCAAAAATAAGAGGATTCAGATGACGTTTGGTCCGGTTTTTGGTCTGGCGAACAGTTGGACAGAATGATGTTGAACATGATGTTATAGTAGCCTAATCTACAACCCATTTCTTAATTTCCGGAAGCCCAATATACAGCCCATTTTGTAATTTGCTGAAGCCCACAAATGAATAATCTTTGCAGCCTAAAAAAAATTTAATAGAGCAGCTCAATATATAAAGTAAAAGCCCATTTTTTTGTGTTACTATGTAGTAAAGAAAAACGCAACATATATAAAATGAAGAAAAACGCAACATATATAAAATCATTCGTACGGAACAATTTTTCTTTATACTTAGCAATTTATGCTTTGTATAGTTGCACAATATATATCTTTAAATCACAAATTGTTGTGTATAAATCATCTTCCACAAAAACGAAATCAAAATGTATGGCATTTGGAAGCATCACATGAGAAAGAGGGAGAGGGTTCTTGATGTCTCTCCTTTCTTTTGCTCTTCCTTACTTTCGGAACAAATTAATATTATCAGGTAATTCATTTCTTTTAGATTAGATTAGGTTGAATTTTGTATCATTTTGATCAAGGGTGGAGTTTTTTAGAGCAACAATAAATGACAATTTCAAAAGACTTATCATTTTGGTTTTGTAATGGGTTTTAATATAACTTTCTATTATTATCATTATTATTATTATTATTATTATTATTATTATTATTATTATTTGCAATATTGGATGAATCAATGGAACAATTGGTTGATTATGAGTAATTTTGTATAGTTTTTTATTGTATTTTATGATTACATTTTCTACTTGAACATTTATATAATTATTGTGTTTGATCATGAGTTTAATGTATGAATGATAATTAATTGGTTAATTTTTTATTAAGTAACATATCTTAAAACTAATTAGAAAAAAAAAACAAATGGTTTTTATGTATATTTTCATTTCATTATAAACCATATTGATAGGTGTCTCGTTAGGGATCATATGATGCAAATTTTTTTTGAATGTGGAGGAGGAAAAAACTATTTTTCGTCATTCTTGTTGGGGAAATTGTCAGAAAAGTCTCAATATTTTCAGGAAAGTTACACGTTAGTCCCAAGATTTTTTTTTTGAACATTAAAGTCCCGATTATTTTTAAAAACACGATAATATGTCATTTCCTGTTAAAAGAAAAAAAAAGACTTTTTTGTAAACTTGAGCCAAAATTAAATAATCGGGACTTTTTTGTTCAAAAAAAATATCTTGGGACTAAAGTGTAACTTTCCTGAAAATATTAGGACTTTTCTGACAATTTCTCTTCTTGTTGCACATTGGGCCAAAATATATAAGTGTCTTAATTATTATTCATGGTTCATAATGTGATTGTTAGGTTCCTAACTTCCATCGGAATCGACATCGTTATTCAAACCATATACCTAAGATAGGGATGAGCATATGGACCGGGGAACTGGTCGGAACCGGAACCCAATGGAACCGGTCGGGCCGGGACCGTGATGATATTCTTGTGGATTTTTGGAACCGGGAACCGGTAGAACTGGACCCCGCAGAACCGAAAAAAACCGGAACCGTTTGTTGTTATTTATCGAGGACCGGTTCCAACATTGAAGACATTGCAAGAACTGGTAGAACAGGCGGTCCGGTTCGGTTTTTAATTTCGGCCGACTTCGGTTCCCGGGCCGGGTCCGGTTCGGGCTGGTTCCTTTGCTCATCAATAACCTAAGACTAGGTTGTTTTAAGTATATTTATCTTTAACGAGTCAAATAAATCGAATGGGTTAAAGTCGAACAAACTATACTTATATGATTTTATGAAAAAATGTTATTCTTACAGCAACCTAAAAATATACTTATATGATTTGATGAAAAAAATGTTATCCTTACAACAAGCTAAAAATATAGTAGTTGATTTCATATATAACTTAGGTTGAAAAGCTATATGTTTTGCAACACTTTCTAATATAGTGGAATCATATATGAGGCCGTAATATAATCTGATTTACAACGACACCCCAAAATTTATATCTAATGACACAATTACTTAACCAGGATTGGTTTTAAAAATAAATAGTACAGATGCCCAAAAGTATGTTACACAACCATGTGTCGTTTGTCGTTTCAAAAAAAAATGTCCTTTGACTAGCTTCGTTTGATAATATGTTTATATAACCCAATTTTATCTTACTGGCAACATCGGTATAACAATACGGTGGAAGTGAAATGCATGATTATTTAAAAAATAATAACAATAATAATAATAATAATAATAATAATAATAATAATAATAATAACTAGCAAAGAACTCGCGGCTACGCTGCTTTTGAGTAATATGGGGAAAATCGG